GAGCATTAACTAAAGTGGTGAGTCTTTAATGCTGGAATTGCACATGTTAAACGAAGTGGAAAGGAACGGGAGAGAGTCGCTGGAGAAGGACTTCCTAAGCGCCCCTAAATCACTCCTGCAGGTACCCCCAGTGGGAAGGTGGGAGGGCAGTACCCCTGGAGTGAGGACACATACCCCTCGGCCAGGGGTCGCAGGGCTGGTTGCAGGCCCAGGACCCCGGCCCCACCTGAAAATCCCCGAGGGGGCCTGGGAAGGTTGAGGGTGGGGAAACTGGGCCCCCTCCTCACGCGAGCCTGATACTGCCACATACCTGGGTTTGGGTGAGGTCAAAAGCAGGACCCAGACTGGGGTGAGGCAAGAGAGGTGTCTAGGATGCAAAATTTAAGGACGTGCTCACACTCTAGGTGTCTCAGTTGCCTCACCCTAGTCCCAGCCCTGCCACAGAGCTCAGGGCGCCAGAGGTGAATACAGCAGTGACGGCAGCTAACGTGTACTGCTCACGTGCCGAGCCCTGTCCCAGGCTATGTGTATTATGTATACAACATATGTTAATTCACTCAACTCTCACACCTCTTATCAGTTGACAGATAAGGGGACAGATTCAAAACAGATAACTTGCCCAGCTAATAACTCGTACAGGTAAAAGTGTCCCAGAGTTCCCACTCTTAACAATGCTGCCGTATCAGCACCCCCCGCCCAACACACACACAAACACACACACACACACACAAAGGCACCAGGTGCCAGGTGGTGCCCAGCTACCTTATCAGGACCCACCCCAGCAGATTGGCCACAGCTGGGTCTCTGCCCACGGCAGGCCCTGCGGGACTGGGAAGGTGGGTCACGTGTGGGTGAGGCCCCTTTTATAGCCCCACCACCCCCTCTGGCTCTGTCTTTTGCCACCTGACCTGCCGGCCACTACATACGCCAGCTGTGCCCACTCATCATGGAGAAGGTCCTCGTCCTCCTACTCCTTGCCCTCGCGGTAGCCTATGCGGTCCCCGACCCCCGGGGACTCATTATCAACCTGGTAAGAGGGTCTTCAGGGCAGAAGTCATCTGAACCCCGAGGTGGGAATTCTTTTTAAGCTTGAATCTTGACCTCTGGGTGGGTCAAGTTGTCCCCACGTGGGGCTACCCAAGGGCTGGGAGGTAAGGCGTCTCTTCCTTTACTGCCCATTCCTGTCCCATGCCCCTTCCCCAGGGGCCCCAGAGAAGGTTGATCAGCATGGAGCATGCTCAGAGCAGCGGTTCAACCTGGCTGAGGGCACTTTATAAAATTCCAGAGCGGAATTCCCTTGCAGTCCAGTGGTTAGGACTCAGCGCTTTCACTGCCACGGTTCCATCCCGGGTTAGGGAACTAAGATCCTGCAAGCCGTGGCACGGCCAAAAATAAATAAATAAAATTCAGAGCCCTGGGCTCCTGCCCCAGAAACTCTGGCTCAGAAGGTTCAGTAGTTTAAAAAGCTTCCCCAGTGATTCTGGCTTCTGACCTAGCCTGACCAGACCAGCTCCAAATGCCTCAGGAATACTTCCGTATTTAGTCCTCATAAGAGCCACGTGAGATAGGTACTATTCTGATCAACCCCGTTTCCAGATGGAAAGCTGACACAGGGGAAGATTCAGTCACCTGCCTGAGGTCACACAGCTGAAAAGTCTTGAACAGGGGTTGGCGCTTCAGCTGGCAGGCTCCAGAGCCAGGATCTCACCACTGCCCACGCTGCCTCTCCACCAAGGGCACAATTGCAAAAGCCCTTTGGGTTAAGAACTCAGTTCACAGGTTCTTAACTCAGGGCCATGCATGGACTCGGAGGGTCCGGGATGCCCCTGAGATTTATTTGTAAGAGTCTGTGGGGGGAGGGAGGGAGGAATTTTCCAGGGAGAGAGGGTCCTCAACCTTCACAGGCTCCTCAAGGGATTGGGGGACACAGAGGTTTGGAGACCCTGTTTGCGGGCCACAAGTGGCCATTCCAGATGGGAACTCTGAGGCATAGGGTGGGCCAGTGACTTGCCCAGGGTCACCCAGGGAGTTGGTAGCACAGCCAGTCCTAGAAGCCAGGTGTCCTGTCCCCGGCCCGGGGCTGCTTCTCTGGCACCACACTGCCCGCTTCTCACGTGGGTGGATGGGCGGTCGGAGTGGGAGGAGAGGCCGCCAGCCCCAGGGGTTGGATTCCTTCGCACATGCCTCCCCCAACCGGGTAGTGTGTGGCGAGGTGGGGCTCTGGGTGGAGAAGGGATCAAATGGAGGTGGGTCTGGGCTGACGGGCTTCCCCTGGCAGGAAGAGGGCGAACTCTGCCTGAACAGTGCCCAGTGCCGGAGCAAGTGCTGCCACCGCGATACCGGCCTGAGCCTGGCCCGCTGCGCACCCAAGGCCAGAGAGAGCAGCGAGTGCTCCGCCTTTGTGAGTGCCGAGTGCCGGGGCGGGGTGGCGGCGGGGAGGACAGCTCCGAGGCGGAGGGCCCTCGAGGCTTGGGGGGCGGAAGGGGAATCAGGGAGGGGGCTCCGTCTGGACACGGAACGTTGAGGAGATGAGAGGGAGGTCAGCAGGCTTCAAAGCCCTTTCCCATCCCATCCCCTCTCCTGACCCTCACCACGGACCAGTGAGATGGGTGGGGCAGCCATCTGTTATCCCTGTTTCATGGATGGGTAGCTAGAGGCTTCCCAGAGGGAGCAAGTTAATAAGAGCAAGCGAGCCACACAGCAGAGACCAGAACCCAAGTCCTCCAGGCCCACAGCGCCCCCTGGGGAGGCAGTCAGGAGAAGCACCATCTGAAAGAGGCAGGGCAGGCGATGCCCAAAGTGGCTCCCACAGCCTGTGACTCCACTGGCTCCGTATCTCTGCAGACCCTCTATGGGGTTTACTACAAGTGTCCCTGTGAGCGCGGTCTGACCTGTGAGGTGGACAAGACCATCGTGGGCTCCATCACCAACACCAACTTTGGCGTCTGCCTCGATGCTGGCCGCTCCAGAAAGTGAGGACACTCACCCAGGCTGGCACGCCACAGGGCGCTCGTCCTCCACCACCTCTCCCTGGCTGGCCGCCCCTAGACCGGCACCTCCGTCTTCTAATTGGATTCTTGGCAATTAAAGCCCCTCTTGCAAACCTTCCCCAGGCTCCTGGATGTTCTTGCTGAATCAGCGTCTTCCTTGATGTTACGTCAAGCTTTTCGCCCCATCAGGGCAGGTGTCCTCCGAGAAGGAGGAATGGGTCTGGGGCCAGGCAGGATGGGGCTGACAGACTGGAGACAAGGTTGTGCAACAGGCCCAGCCAGGCTGGGAATGTTTCCATTTCTATGTCTTCTTCTTTTTTTTTTCTTTTTAATTTATTTAATTTATTTTAGTTTCGGCTGCATTGGGTCTGTTGCTGCATGAGGGCTTTCTCTAGTTGCGGTGAGTGGGGGGCTACTCTCCGTTGCGGTGCGCGGGCTTCTCATTGCGGTGGCTTCTCTTGTTGCAGAGCATGGGCTCTAGGTGCGTGGGCTTCAGTAGTTGTGGCACGCAGGCTCAGTAGTTGTGGCTCGTGGGCTCCAGAGCACAGGCTCAGTAGTTGTGGTGCACGGGCTCAGTTGCTCCGTGGCATGTGGGATCTTCCCGGACCAGGGCTCGAACCCGTGTCCCCTGCATTGGCAGGCGGATTCTTAACCACTGCACCACCAGGGAAGACCTATGTTTCCATTTCTGAGGAACAATCACACCTCCCTAGGAGGCCCTCATTGCCCCTCAAGTTCTCAAGCAGACAGGCACACACACACACACATCTCTGGTGGGGAGTTATAATGGCCCATCTTCTTTGCCCTGCATCAAAACTTACCAGTCCCCTCTCCTGGGCTCTCACCTCTTTTCTGGGCCAAACTTTCAGATGTGACAGCTAGCTGACACAATCTGTGTGTTAAGGGGTCAGACCACAAACAATTGCTATAGGCTTACTCTGTGCTAGCAAATTCTCACAATGACCTTGGGAAGGAGAATTCATTGTCTCCACTTTATAGATAAAAGAAACTAAGGATCAGAGAGGTTAAGTAACTTGCCCAATGTCATGTAATTAGAAAAAGTTGCCACTAAACCCATCCAACTCCACCTCCTACGCTTTCTACAATTCCCTGTTCTTTCCTAATTGTACATACTAAGACAGATGGGTGGCATTGTAAGGAATTTAGTTTTGACTTAATACAAAAATTTTATACCCCCTGGAGCCATCAAACCAGGGTTTCCTTAGGCAGTCCTGAGGTGCCGGTCACTGAGATGTGCAAGTGGAGGGTCACTGACCCCTCGGTGGGGATGCTGGAGAGGAGATTCACATAAATGAGGGAGAGTGATAATGAAATTGAGATGCTCTCCCAGCCCCAGGATTCTGTAGTTCTGGGATAATGAATCCTTAGAGTAACCATTAGGTTTATGAGTTAAGACTGGATTCAGCTGTAAGTAACAACAACAACAACAAAAACCCAAGTAATTACGACTTAAACAAAGGGGGCATATGTTGGGTTGGCCAAAAATTCATTCGGGGTTTTCCATAACATCTTACAGAAAAAATACGAACGAACTTTTTGGCCAGACCAATATTTCTCAGGCATGAAGAAGCCTAGAGATGGAAGTGCCGGCATTTGTTTGGGTGCTGGCAGACCTGCAGGTCTCTTCACCTCCTCTCAGCAAATGCCTTCACAGCAGCTCCTAACATCAGATCCTCTCACCATGTGCTAGGAAGCTTTGGGTAGAGGCTGGGTTGGGGAGGGGGTGAGGGCAGAGTGCTTCTCCTGGGGTACCTTCTTATCTTGCCCTAATGCCTCTGGGCTGACGTCTCCACATCTCCATGGCTACAACTGGGTCACCTGACCACCTCTAGCTGCAAGGGAGGCTGGGAAAGCAAAGGGAATGGGATTGCCATGACTGGCTTAGACTAATTATGATCCCTCTCCAGGGCTGGGCACATTACTGCCCAAACAATATTGGGGTTCAGCAAGGAAGGGGGGCAGTGGCTGCCAGCAAACATTGAAAGTTCTTTATTGCAATGACTGTGCATCACCCCTCCCTCCTTGTTCCTCCCCTGTTGGGGGAGGCTCTGGGGACCAGGGACAGGAACACACAGTTCTGGGTAGGCACAGGAGTAGGTGGAGGAGAAGTGGGGGGAGGCAAGGAAGAAAGATCATTAAAAGAAAGTTTCCTTAGCTGGCTTTTTTTTTTTTCAGTTTTCTTACAATGGCCGTAGATGATTGTAAACGATTTCTCATTCTTCAGAAATATACGAGTCAGGCCCTGCTGGCAGGGACATTAGTTATAAAGGCCGAGGAATGTCTGGGAAAGGCGAGACTTTGACCTCGATCTTGGGGGCTGCTCTGCCCTCAGCCCCGAGGGCCAGCCCCCACTTTCACCACAGCCCAGCTCTGGGGCCCATCTGCTTGTGCACAACAGAGGAGCCTGGGCATAAAGACCTCCACACCCAGCTGCTCAGAGCCTCTGGTCACCTCCTCCAGGCTGACCCCTAGGGTTGCTAAGTGTTCTCTTCACTGCATCCCTGGCGTCACCTTTCCCTTGTTAACCCATCTGCCAGTCCTAAGTGGATGAACACTGAGAGGGAGCCCCATCTCAGCTCCTTAAATCCTTTCATAGGTAAGTCAACTCCCCTCTCCTGCACACTCAGTTCAGAGGCTGCCTCAGCCCGCCTCCCCCCAGGAGGCCACGGCAGAACTCCTGGGGCTTGGGAGGACGGTGGTTAAGGCAGAGGTAGAAAGGGTGAGGGCCAGACCTAACTGTGCCCATTTACAGTGCTACTTTCAGGGTTTGCTAAGATGACCCCTGAAGAAAGGGAACCCATATTAGAGAAAGAAGCATCGCCATGCCCCATGCCCCCCCATCCAGGATTCCAAGCCCCTGGAGTGGGGACCCACCTTGGGTCTGTCCAAAGGCTTCCCCAGCAGAGAATTCCCGGGTCATTTCCGCCGCCCCCCCCCAGCCCCCCGGCCTTCCCTGGCCTCTGGGTGTGCCCAGGCTCCACCTTCCGTGGGTTCCTCCCCCTCAGCTCCACCGGGCACCGACACCCACCTCCGTGTGACACGTGCCGCCCTCGGACCCCTTTAAGGAGCTGTGCGACTGGCAGTTCTCTGCCGCCCGGGGCAACATCCACTCGTGCACTTGCCCGGGAAAGCAAATCTCCCCAGTGTCCTGCGGGGAGACGGCTCCACCGCGGGCCCCCGCCTGCGCCCTCACTTCCCCTCCACCCGCCGGGCTGGGCAGTCTCTGGACGGGGCCCCAGGGCATCTCTGCGGCTCGGGGGGTGGGGGGGGCGGACAGAAGGCACCCGCAGGACCTGACCTGTGCCTGGAGGGAACTAAACAGTTTTGGAAGGTTTGCCCTTAGTGTCCCCAGAATAGGTTACGTCTCCTCTGGGTAAGCCAGACCTTCCTGTCTGCCACTGCACAAGCTGCTCTCCTGCAAACTCTGACTTACCCTTTCAGCTGAGTTTGATTGTCACCTACACCCCCCCCCCAAACACACACACACTCACACACATCAACGGCCCCCAATGCTGGGGCTTATGACGTCACCCATCATCCCTCCATCAGACATTTTCAATAGTCTTTCAACAAGCAAATACTGAGCACCTACTGTGTCCAGGCCCTGGAGATACAGCTGGGAACAAAACCAACAAATGCCTGCCCTGCTCAGCACGCCAGGCCCCGTTAGCTCCACCTGCCTGCTTCCCTCTCCCGTCCCGGCTGCGGCCTTCCTGGACACCTAGCCAGAGCAGTCCCATCACCTGGGTTTACCATGTTCACAACACATCTGACTCTCTGAAATCATCTTCTTTATCTTGTTTTTAAATTTTTCTATCTCTCCCTCAACTCCAGGAGGGCAGGGATTTTTGCTCTCTTGTTCACTGCTGTATTTCTTAGATGCTAGGACTAAAGTCCTCACACACAGTGGGTGCTGAATGCAAAACTGCTGAACAAAGGAGAATATTGTAATGTTCCTTTGATCTCTCTGACCTCATCTCCTATTATTTCCATTCTCTCTCACTCCTATTTTCTATTCCTTGAATATGCCAGGCAAGGTCCCTCCTCTAGACCTTTGTCCTGACTGTTACTCCACCTGGACTGCTCTTTCCACTGCCTGCCTGGCTCCCTTTAGGAAAGACCTCACACCCTTTAGGTCTTTGCTTAAATTCCCATTGTCAGTAAGGCCTTCCCTGAGCACCCTCTCCTCACACCACAACTCCTGAAGCCCCTTCTTTATTTTCTTTGTCCTCAGGTGTTGATCACCTGGAATTACATTAATATTTTACTTATTTGCCTCCTACAATAGAATGTCAGCTCTCCCAGGGCAAGGATTTTTGTGTCTTGTTCACAGCCCCATCACTAGCACCTAGAAAAATCACTTACATGTAGTAGGTGCTCAATAAAACGTGTGGAGGAATGAATGTCTGTCTCTCTTACCAGATGTGAGCGAGCCTGGGATGGGAGTGCTGTGTTGTGGTCATCTCTGCAGTGACAGCACCCAGCAGCACCCCGGCACAGCTCCCATGACTCTGGTGCGCTTTCTTTGTCTCCCCAGACATCCTCCACCCAGCACTCCCTGCTGTCCCCCACTTCCAGTTTTCACCCACATGAGGCTCTGTGCCCACCCACCGTCCCCAAACAACCCTCCCCAAACAAAGTCTTAGGATGGTGGCAGATGGTGTGCCCTCTACGTTCCTTACCAAACTTTTGACTTCTCCCTGGAAAAATGAGCCCCCAGTGAGGAGCAAGAAAAAAGAGAGGAGGAAGAAGATGACCAGGAGCGCTGCTGCCACGTCAGAGACCAGAGGTGGTGGCCGTGCCTCTAAGGTCCAGCTACATACCCTGCATCTGCAATGTGAGTGCCATGTGACTGAGGCCTGGAGGGTGGGTAATGACGTGTGATTGCCCAGTCCTGGGGTTGACAGGGAGATGCCCGCAGTGCCAGTTCCCAGACCAAAGGGACAGAGGAGCAAGCAATGGGGATAAAGCTGATGTTTCCCAAGAACCACTGCTGCTTCCTGGACGGTTTGCTGTGCTCATCTTGCTGCCAGCAGAGTATCTAGTCTGTGTGATTGGACTCTGGCACCGGCGAGATCTGGGTTCAATCCCAGCTCTGCTGCCTACTGGCTGTGTGATCTTGGGCAGCCTTCTTAACCTCTTTGAGCCTTGGTTTCCCCTTCTGCAAGATGCGGCATAATAAGAGTACATCACAGGGATGATGCAATGCTTAAATTAAATAGTAGATATTTTGCTCTGCATGGAGTAGGCACCCAATAAATTAGAAGCTGTTATTAGCTTTACAGTTAGAAGTCCTCAGTTAGAAGGCTCTCAAAAGACTCTCTCATCCGATCCAATTGTGTATTTTTAGTAGCAAACAGCGTTGTGAATATTTGTTTTGCAGATGAGGTGACTAAGGCCCAGAGAAGCTGCCAAACCTCCCCAAAGTCACAAAGCTATCAAGTAACAGAAGATTAGACTCTGGGTTTCATCTTTCCACTCCCTTTCTCCAGAGGCTTTCAATTAGAATTTCAGTAACTCCCTCTCTTGAGAAAATGCAGTGCGCCAAAACGCATTTCTGTAGGCCTTCTTGGCGAGCACAAGAGTTACAAGCCCAGGACGCACAAAACACAAATGGTGAGTGGGTTGTGGCAGTGGATAATCAGAACAAAGTGCCTAAGTCTCGGGAGTGGGAGCGGGTGATAATGCTGCGGGCAGAGCAGCAAGAGACATTTTTACACGTATTAGTCACAGTAGGTACGGAAATGCTGTGGGAACAAACGGTCCAGGAATCACAGAGGCTTAACACAACGCAAGTGGATTTCTCGCTGTGAGTCAGGACGCTCTCCGGGGCCACTGTCCTCCCTGTGGTGACTTAGCAATCCAGGCACCTCCCAGCAATAGATCCTCACCTTGTCACCCAGCCATCGCAGGGAAAGAGAATTGGAGAACTCACAGGTTTTCTGGGTGCCTCACAGAGGGTGAAATCACCCCCTTACCCAAAATTGGTTTGGATGTTGGAATGGATGATGCCGCACATACCCAGACAATATGGAAATGTTTATTACTAGAATAATGGAACTTTCTGGGGACAGCAGCACAGGTGCAAGGAGGTGTGAGTGGCAAGGATGAAGGGGCGGGTGGCTTTGACTTTTACTGCGGCTGGGAGATGGGGCCAGGGTGAGGGTTCCCTGGGCAGGCTGGGATTTGTGTGGTTTGCACCTCCCACCAGCACCAAGGGAGGAAGCAAGTGCTTTTAGCAGCTGGCCTAGATGTGGGGCAAAAAGGGAGTGAGAGCTTGAAAGCTGTCATTGGCCAATCATCAAAAATGGAGTCTTCCTTGGGAATTCCCTGGCGGTTCAACGGTTAGGGCTCTGAGCTTCCACTGCAGGGGGCTCGGGTTCCACCCCTGGTTGGGAATCCTGCAAGCTGCCTGGCATCGCAAAAAAAAAAAAGAAAAAAAAAAAATGGGAGTCTTCCTACCTAAGCGTAGGCAAGTCTTTGCATTGGTCTTAGCTGTATATTTCTAAATGTGATTCCTCAGGCAAAGGGAAACAAAAGCAAAAATAAACAAATGGGAGAAGATATTGCAAATGATATATCCAATAAGGTGTTAATGCCCAAGATATATAAAGAACTCATATAAACTAATAAGGACCTACTGTACAGTACAGGGAACTCTACTCAATACTCTGTAATAGCCTGCATGGGAAAAGAATCTAAAATAGAGTGGATATATGTATATGTATATGTATAACTGATTCACTTTGCTGTACACCTGAAACTAACACAACATTTTAAATCAACTATACTCCAGTAAAAATTAAAAAAAAAAAAAACTCATACAAATCAACAACAACAAAACAAACTACCCGATTCGAGCTGTCTACCAGTACATCGATAGCTCTAGGTCCTGGGAGCCAAGTTCCCCTGGCTTGTTAAAATAATAATAAAAGGTTTTGTGGCAGTGAATTGCTCCCACGGTACATTCTCCTTTTGTCCTTTAATAATAGAACCCCCCAAGCTTTAGCTGGGCACACAGATGCCCACATGAAAACTACACTTCCCAGTCTCCCTTGCAGCTATCTGCAGCCATGTGACTAAGTTTTGCCCAATCATATGTAAGTGAAAACAATTCCTGTGGCCTCTTGGTCATGCCCTTTTAGGAAGACTGAGTTACTTGCTGTCCCTCTACCCCCTTTCTTCTAACTGGAATGTGGACACAGCAGTTATGGTGATACATCATCTTTGACATCCTGGGGCAGAGCTTCTTGACTAGTGTGTCTGGAAATGTGGATGCCTTCTGCCCTCAGGAGAGCCTCTTTAAGGCCCCAAGGCCCTTCTACTCTTACCCCAAGGTACTATACACATATGATGTTTCTGTGTGTGCCACGTTGTAAAAAATTAAGGGAAAAAAAAAAGGAAACAATGCAGCAGATGGCTGAGCAAGAGGGTGGAAGGAGGTGGAGGCGTGGACAATCTCACCCAGCATGAGCCTCTAGCCAGCCTCCCCCAACTACCAGATGAGAGAGAAAGCATCTACCTTGCTTAAGCCATCATTAGGATAGGTTTTTGCTTCTGCAACTGTAAAGTTGTATCCTAAAGAACATAGATGGTTTGGACTTGGAAATGATCTTACTGTCTACTCATAGGGAAATAGTTAAGTAAATATGGGTCCACATATATAATAAAATTAGGCAGTCATTACTGTTTGAAAAAGTACTTTGGTGACATGAGGGAAATGATTGATATATAATGAGACAGGAGAAAAAGCAATTTCTGATTTCTGCGTGAGGCAAAGGATCTCTGAGTTACACTGGGGTTATGTCAAATGAGGAGTGGTGGGTGGGTCCAGGGCAAGGTAACCCCCAGGACAGACTGGACTGGGGGTAGAGTCTCGGTGTTCCAGTCTGACCCAGGAGAGTGGGTCCAGACATCAGAGCTGAGGCCACGCATCTTCATCAGGATCTGGCCAGGAAAGGCGATGGTGTTCTGAGTCCTGGCTGTGTAGGTGACCTCTTGGCTGGGGAGACACCAGGTAAAACCTGCACCCACCCCCATCGGAATAGTCCCAGAGAGGCTGACTCCACCTTTGCACCCTCCCACATAAGCCAGGCTAAGTCAATCGGCTAATTCCACCGCAATGATTGGTTCAGGGTTGAGCATGCCGACTAAGCAAATCCAATCAGAATCGATCTTAGCACGTTTGCTGAGAATTTTGAGACAGATGTTTCCTTTCTCTGGGAGGCATGATTGGCATATGTGAGGTGGATTTGTGGTTAAGAGCCTGCCCTGTGGAGCAAGACAGCCTGGATTCAAATCCCAGCCTCACCCCTACTCTGAACCTTTGAGAAGGATACTTTGAGCCTCAATACCATATTTGTAAAATAGGGATATTTATAGTACCTACTATAACTGTTGTGAGAATAAGAGGAGTTGATACAGATAAAAAAGCACTTTGCTCAGTGTCTGGAACATAATAAGTGCTCAATAAATCTTAGCTGTTATTATTATGTGACACCTGGAACTTTTGCAGCTACTGGGAAGGAATCCAGCCTGAGGGCCATGGAGCTACTGGATTCAGCCAGACCTGAGGACAGGCTGCTACTGTACTTCTAGTTCCAACCCCCAGTGAATTCCCTCAGCATCTAGACCAGTTTGGGTTGGTTTTTTGGATAACTGCAGCAGAAAATACCCCATGGTGATAATCCATGGTGAGACCTTGGGCAAGTCATGTAGCTCTCTGAGCCTCAGTTTCTTTATCTTTATTTTATTTTTTTTAAATGTATTTCAGGGCTTCCCTGGTGGCGCAGTGGTTGAGAGTCCGCCTGCTGATGCAGGGGACACGGGTTCGTGCCCCAGTCCGGGAGGATCCCACAGGCCGCGGAGCGGCTAGGCCCGTGAGCCATGGCTGCTGAGCCTGCGCGTCCGGAGCCTGTGGTCTGCAACGGGAGAGGCCATAACAGTGAGAGGCCCGTGCAAAAAAAAAAAAAAAGTATTTCATTTTAGTATAGTTGATTTACAATGTTAATTTCTACCATACAGCAAAGTGATGCAGTTATACATATATATACATTCTTTTTTCATATTCTTTTCCATTATGGTTTACCACAGGATATTGATTATAGTTCCCTGTGCTCTACAGTAGGACCTTGTTGTTTATCCATTCTATATATAACCGTTTGCATCTGTTTATCCCAAAATCCCAATCCATCCCCTACCCACTGTCCGCCCTTGGCAACCACAAGTCTGTTCTCTATGTCTATGACTCTGTTTCTGTTTCATAGATAAGTTCATTTGTGTCGTATTTTAGATTCCACATATAAGTGGTATCATACGGTATTTGTCCTTCTCTTTCTGACTTACTTCGCTTAGTATGATAATCTCTAGGTCCATCCGTGTTGCTGCAAATGGCATTACTTCATTCTTTTTATGGCTGAGTAGTATTCCATTGTATCTATGTACCACATCTTCTTTATCCATTCCTCTGTCCATGGACATTTGGGTTTCTTCCATGTCCTGGCTATTGTAAATAGTGCTGCAGTGAACAGCATGTATCTTTTCAAATTATAGTTTTCTCTAGATAAATGCCCAGGAGTGGGATTGCAGGATCATATGGCAACTCTACTTTTAGTTTTTTGAGGAACCTCCATACTGTTCTCCATAGTGGCTGCACCAATTTACATCCCCACCAACGGTGCAGGAGGGTTCCCTTTTCTCCACACCCTCTGCAGCATTTGTTATTTGTGGACTTTTTAATGATGGCCATTCTGACCCGTGTGAGGTGGTACCTCATTATAGTTTTGATTTGCATTTCTCTAATAATTAGTGATGCTGAGCATCTTTTCATATGCCTATTGGCCGTCTGTATGTCTTCTTTGGAGAAATGCCTACCTAGGTCTTCTGCCCATTTTTCGATTGGGCTGTTTGCTTTTTTGTTATTGAGTTGTGTGAGCTGTAGTTTCTTTATCCATAAAATGGAACTGATATTAGAGAACGTGGAGAGATCAATGCACCAGGTCACTTTCCCACCACAGGCATGGACATTTTTGCATTTATGCTTCACACGCATTCTCATAAACACTCTCTCAATGATCTCCACCCTCATGTTCCCCTTGAAAAGCATTCAGATCCCCCTCTTAGTCCGCCCTACCACATACCCATCCATGAGCACCTCAACATACTCTCTCGAGGCACATTCCTCAAACGTGCCCCTCCCACATAGCCCTCCTTCCCAAGGCTTGGCCCTTCCTGGATGCAGCCTCTTCTCACCCCTACACCCCAGTTCCCTCCCGCAGATCCGCCCTGAGGCCACCAGGCCTCCAGACAGGGCCAAACCCCATGGGAAGCTCTATCATTCCTCCTGTCTCCCCTTTCAGCTACCCCCAGACTGGAGCAATCCCTATCCGGTTCCCTCTCCCAGGAAGTGCAGACAGAAGCCAGAGCCAGGAAGTGACTTTAATGTCTTTTGAGCAAGATGGCCCCCCCCCAAGGAGGAGAGGGAGGGAGGGGTGGCAGTGACCAGCCTGCATCCTCTAAATCAAATGGTACCGGCGGGTACAGACTGGGTCCTTGTGTATGCAACTTAAGCCTACTTGGCAGGGGCATGTGATGTCAATGGCGCCCTTGGTCTGCGGAAAACAGGTAAGAGAGTTGAGAGTTACCAAGGTGCAGGAAAGAAGGGGGTTTGAACTCCTTGGGTAGCAGAAGCAAGATCACAAGTGATGGAGTGAGACAGACATGAGCTGTCAGCTCTACAGCTGATAACTTTGTGACCTTAGGCTTCTTTGTCTTAGTTTCTGCATCCGTCAAATGGGATAATAATAGTAACCCCATTTGTTATTTTGAGAAAATAGACAAAATAAAGTAGATCAAGTGCCCATGATGAAAAGATCCTCTGGCCACTTCAGCTGTAGACTTAGGCCACAGGAGCGGCCTGACTGGCTCCCTGGGCAATGGCAGCTCCCCAGACAGGGAGATGGAGGCTGAGCCCATCCTCCATAGAAAGATTTGGGCCCAGGGCCGGAGAAAAGGCAAGCAAGAACAAGATATACAATGCATTCTGCTCCCTGCATTTCCACCAGCTAATAACAACCATGCTCCATTGAGCACTGTCACTGCCATGACCATATACTCTTCCCAACAACGTGGTGGGGTGGGTACTTTAACCCCATTTTTCAGATGAGGAAACTAAGGCTCAGAGAGCAGAAGTGATCTGTCTGAGGTCACAAAGACAGGGGCTGGAAAAGCCAGGGTTTAAACTCAGGTCCAATCCCAAAACTGTGAGCCTGCCACGGCAGCTCCGCTCAAGAAATTAGGTCATAGCGGCAGGGAGGTAGGGATGGGTTGAGAGGTCTTTTCCCATCCGCTTTGCTGCAGTGATGTTAGGGTAGAGATATTCATTCATGCAACAAACATTTGTTGAGCACTACTGTGTGCAGGCACTAAACTGGGTGGGTAGGGGTTCAAAAGTGAGTATGTCTTAATCCTTCCCTTGCAGAGCTCTGCCCAGTGGCGGAGGCAGACAAAGGCAGGGAAGTCAGGGAGATACATGCTCTGCTGAGGGTCTGGGTCCCAAGAGTGTCAGAGCTCCAAGGAGGGAAGTCTTCTCAGAGGAGGTGGCTGGAGTTGTTATTGCAGGACGATTAGGAGTTTGCCAGGTGGAGAAGGGGGAAAGGCTGCTCCAAGGAAAGGGTAAAAAAAGCAGGTGCAGCCACATGGGTTTTTTAACCCATCCCCACCCTACATACCAGAAGGGGCTGCCCCACCCGAGTCTCACTTGGGGCAAGCACATCATGGTTATTCTGGCCCTAGGGACACAGAAGGCACACCGTGGTCCAAGTTGATGAGACAGCAGTCGCTGTAGCACTCCAAGTGGTGGGAACACCTAGCCCCGTTCGTCTGTGGGGACCCGCCCTAAGTCACCAGTCTCTGGCAGCATTTGTGTGTAGGGGTCAGGGGGGGGTCCCTGACATTGCCAAAGCCCCAGGAGTCCAGAAAGAGAAGCCCTGAGATGGTCACCCCACCTCCCACCCCCCCCTCCGGCACCCTTCCAGCAGTACTCAGAGGAGCAGGGGGAGAGGAAGGGTGGCAGTTTAGTACTTTTCCCTCTGCTTCTCCTCTCCTGGGGGCCTCCCTCAGCTCTGTGGGTCCCAAAGGGTGACCTTTGTTGGGGGGAGAAAATACTCCCAGATCACACTTTAGTGGGGCGTGGGCGGGGGGGGGGGGGGCAGGACCGAGTGTCCAGGAGCGGGTGTTGGGAGGGAGGGGATGGTGCTGGTTGTAAGGCCACTTTCTTTCCCCTCCAGAGCCACCAGGGAGGTGAAGCAGGGCTTTGAAGTCCTTTGGGAACCTATCAAGCTTCCAGCCTGAGAAGAAATCGCCAATACGGGGTGGTTCCCCCCATCCCCCTCTTCTCTCTCAAAACCCAACTGGCACCTTCTGGCTAGACGATTATACCTCGACCACCGCCCTCTGCTAGAGTGGAAGGTTCCAAAAGCTCTCTTGGCTCACCTTTGCAGACCCCTTTTTAAATTGCGGGAACTCCTCCCAGCAGGGGAGCAGCATCGCCGCGAGTATCGAGAGGGCCGCGGCCATGCGCTTGGGAAGCAGAAGTCCCGTCGGGCTCCGAGAGGCTGCGGGGATAAACCTTCCCGCTGCCACGTGACCCGGCGCCCCCAGCGCCCGCTCTGGGCTGGGGGCGGAGGGTGAGGGAGTTAATGGTCACAGGCCACTCCAGAGCGGAGGCCCAAACCAGCAGAAGCCCTTTCTAGCGCCCAGGAGGCTCCCAGGCCCCGGCAAAAGGATGGAATTAGGAAAGGCGCTCCTATGAGACCCTGACTCAGGCGTGGACCGGCCAGATGATCGATTTTAGGGGCCCTAGGGCCATCCGTATGTATTACTTGCAAATTAAAACTTAAAACTGTAAACTACAACTTTATTTTCAAAAATTATGCAAAATTTATATGCTGAAATGAAACAGCTTGCTTCTTGATGTTCTGACTCTCTCTGCCCTTTGCTGCACCAAATTGCCCACCACCCCACCCACCCTGACCTTTTGGACAAGCCAGCCCCGCCCTCTGGTGTTTTTCATACCCTCACAGGCCCAGACACGTCCTCTGTAAGAATCAGGAGGCAATGGGAATTCCCTGGCGGTCCAGTGATTAGAACTCGGGGCCGCTGGGTTCAATCTCCGGTGGGAGAACTGAGATCCCACAAGCCTTGGGCTGCGGCCAAAAAAAAAAGAAAAAAAACAGGGCTTCCCTGGTGGCGCAGTCGTTGGGAGTCCGTCCCCCGGTGCGGGGGACACGGGTTCGTGCCCCGGTCCGGGAGGATCCCACGTGCTGCGGAGCGGCTAGGCCCGTGAGCCATGGCCGCTGAGGCTGCGCGTCCAGAGCCTGTGCTCCGCAATGGGAGAGGCCACAACAGTGAGAGGCCTGCGTACCACAAAAAAAAACAGCCAGGAGGTAAGACAAGATGACCTCTAAGACGTAGACGTCTTCCAGGTTTAAGGAGTCAATTAACTGTCAAAGAATTTGTAAATTGTATATAATTCACCCACCTTAGTATGGGGGCAAGATGGAGGGGGCGAGGAGAGGAAGACTGGGAAGGAAGATGGTTCAGGGAGAGCTTCAGGTAGCCCTCAGTGGAACTGGGGGAGGCAGGCCTTCCGCACCATTTCCCTCTGGATGAAACTCGCACCTCACCCCACCCTTGGATGCTTCTGCTTTTAAAATTTTGCTAGTGAGATCACTCTGTATGACAGTCTCTAGGTCCATCCACGTCTCTGCAAATGACACAATTTCGTTCCTTCTTATGGCTAATATTCCATTGTATATGTGTACCACATCTTCTTTATCCATTCCTCTGTTGATGGACATTTAGGTTGCTTCCATGTCCTGGCCATGGTAAATAGTGCTGCTATGAACATTGGGGTGCATGTGTCTTTTTGAATTATGGTTTTCTCCAGGTATATGACCCAGGAGTGCTGGGTCATATGGTTGTTCTGTTTTTAGTTTTTTAAGGAACCTCCATACTGTTTTCCACAGTGGCTGTATCAATTTACATTTCCACCAACAGTGTAAGAGTGTTCCTTTTTCTCCACACCCTCTCCAGCATTTATTGTTGAGAGACTGTCATGCAGAGTGAAGTAAGTCAGAAAGAGAAAAACAAATATCGTATATTAATGCATATATTTGAAATCTAGAAAAATAGTACAGATGAACCTATTTGCCAAGCAGAGACACAGATGTAGAAAACAAACATATGGACACCAAGGGGGGAAACGGGGGGGGGATGAATTGGGAGATTGGGATTGACGTATATACACTACTATATATAAAATAGATAATTAATGAGAACCTACTGTATAGCACAGGGAACTCTACTCAATGCTCTGTGGTGACCTAAATGGGAAGGAAATCCAAAAAGGAGGGGATATATGTATACGTATAGCTGATTCACTTTGCTGTAGAGCAGAAACTAACACAACATTGTAAAGCAACTATACTCCAATAAAAAAAAAAAAAAATTTGCTCGTAAGAAAATATCTGAGGGGCCCTGACTTGAAGGGGATGCTATAGACTGAATTGTTTCCCCCCTTCCCCAAATTCATATGTTGATGCCAGATCCCTCAGTGAGATGAGACTTGGAGATGGGGCCTTTGGGAGGTAATTAGGTTTAGATGAAGTCCTGAGGGTCCCCTCATGATGGGATTAGCACCGTCATAAGAAGGGACACCAGAGAGTTTGCTGTCTCTTCCTCTCTGCCGTGTAAGGACACAGAGAGAAGGCAGCTGTCTGCAAGCCAGGAAAAGGGTTCTCACCAGAACCAGACCATGCTGGCACCCTTATCTTGGATTTCCAGCCTCCAGAGGTGTGAGAGGTAAATTTGTGTCGTTTAGGCCACCCAGCCTATGGTGTTTTCTTATGGCAGCATGAGCTGACTGATATAGGGGGCTTAGGTCTTTTCTCTAAGATAACAGCTCCCACTGAGCTCAGATGGTTTTGTGTCCATGAGCTCTGTTAGCCCTCCCTGTATTAGGGTAATTAACAAAGGCTGTCACAACAGAGAACTCTTGAAATTTCAGTGGCTTGGTACCATAGTGCTTTATTTACCAGTCATGTAAATTTTGATGTGGGACAGGAGACCTTTCTCCCATCTCATAGCCTCACCGTCTGGAAGAGTGGCCTCCAAGGTCCTTATAGAAGATGGGAGAGAGAGATGAAGGAAGCACATGGATCCCTAAATGCCTCAGCCAGGCCTGACACATGCCTCTTCCACTCAGAGACCATTGGCCACAACTAATCATGTGACCTCAACCTTCTGCAAGGGAAGCTGGGAAATTCAAGTCCGGGAATATTTAGTGCATACTATCGTTTCTGCTGCCCATTTTACAGCTGAGGAACCTGAAGGCTCAAGGTAAAATAACTTGCCCAAATAACACAAGTAAGTCACAGAGCCAGATATAAACCCAGGGCATTCTAGCTCCTGAGCCCAAGCTCTTCCACTGCCCCTCCCCCCCACTGCTGTGGGTGGCCAGAAGGCTTTGTCCCCTAAAGGGATTTCTATCGTCATTAGTTTCCCATCCGCAAAGCTCATTGTGAACTGGAGAGGAACCCCAGGGGATAATAATTCTTTGTTTAGAGTAACGTACTTTCCTGAGGTATTTGTGAGGGGTAGATAATTGGTAAATAATGTCTAAGACTGCTCAGAAAAGGGGCAGGTGTGGGACAAGAGGCCAATGGCTGTGTGTCAAGATTGGCAGGTTGAGATTCTTGATTTGAGGACCAGGGGCCCCAGGGAGGTTTGTTGAAGGCCCTGAGTGGGTGGTGGGCCCATGAAATTCTAAATTCTATGCAAAATACCCTTTTTTTTTTTTTTTTTAAGGACAGAGGGCTACATTAGCCTCAGAGACTAGTTCAAATCCTTCATTTTTTTTCCTTTTTAAAAAAAATTTTGTTGAAGTCTAGTTGATAGAGCCTTCATTTTAAGGTCAGGAAACTGAGGCCCAGAGAAGGAAGGGACTTCCCCAGGTGGCTGAACAGAGCCAGGTCTGGACCCCGGGCTCCTGACTCCAAGTCCTCTTCTTCCTGTACCAGTGGCCTGTTTCCCAAATCCAGGTGGCGCTGGTCACAAGCACAAATCCAGGACACCTGTGCTGTGTGAGGGGGTGGGAGCCAGATCACTAGGGTCCCCAGGGCCTGTGGGTGGGTGGTCACTGACCCACCTGACCTGTGAGCGCGGCCCTGGCTCTGCCCTTTGGCCGGGACCCAAACCTGGCCAGCCCAGTCTCGTCTGAGGAGAAAGGGGCAGGAAGCGCCTGGCTGGGCGGACATCCTCCAGTGCCTTCTTTCCTGCATCTATCTGCTGGTTTCCATGACAATATTCTCACTGGTCTACAGCAAAATGAAAAAAATAAGGGCTTTTTTTGTTAAAGAGTTTATCATTTAGGGGACTTCCCTGGTGACACAGTGGTTAAGAAGCCGCCTGCTAATGCAGGGGACACGGGTTCGAGCCCTGGTCCGGGAAGATCCCACATGCTGCAGAGCAACTAAGCCCGTGCGCCACAACTACTGAGCCTTAGCTGTAGAGCCCGTGAGCCACAACTACTGAAGCCTGCGCACCTAGAGCCCGTGCTCCGCAACAAGAGAAGCCACCACAATGAAAAGCCCGCACACTGCAACGAAGAGTAGCCCCCGCTCGCGGCAACTAGAGAAAGCCCATGTGCAGCAACGAAGACCCAAAGCAGCCTAAATAAATAAATAAGTTTATTTTAAAAAATAAATAAAGATAAACGTATTTAAAGAACCAGTTTTTCTTTTTGGCTGCACCGTGGAGCATGCAGAACTTCCGCGAACAGGGATCAAACCCATACCCCCTGCAGTGGAAGCACGGAGTCTTAACCACCGGACCACCAGGGAAGTCCTGAAGAACAATTCTCTACTCTGAAATTACATCCTTCCTACTTTTTTGGCCTTCAAATGTGTTTTTATGAAACAATGGAAAATAAGACAGTAGTAGTTTTGTTCAGTTTTCCATGTTGTTTCTTTGCCGATATATTAGATATATACACACAAATGCTGTCAGTTCCTCAAATTTTTTGGAATTTTTAATCAGTCTGGAAAATCCAAAATAGAATTCTGGAGAAAACTGCCCTTGTGAAAGTCACCCATCACTCAACTCATTCCTGAAGGAACTCTCAAGGTAGTCTGGGGAGAATGATGAACAGTTGCCCGAAAGAGTCTGAGATGTGGAGAGAGGGCAGCAAAAGCTTCCTCGAGAAGAGGACAGGCAGTGAGAAGTGTTTGCAGGTACAGAGGTGGGGCACCGAGGCCTACATAGGATGACCAGGACAGGCCTGGATGCCCACAGGAGGGGTTGGTGCTCTTTTGTGAAGCCTTGAAGGGGGACTAGGATTTAGGCAGGCCGAGAGTAAAGGCCTTCCAAGCAGGGCTCCAGAGGGACAAAGGTTTGGAGGTGAGAATGAGTAGAGGACAGGCTCTCTGCTTGTGGAGGATGCAGATGATGTTGGAGTGGTCAGTACTCCAGGGACCTTGGGGGACCATGGGAGTAACCCCAGTTGAAGTGGCTCCTCA